AAACAATGTTGTCTTCCAACAAGCTAGAGACTGTCGTGTCCAAACTGTCATTGGCATGTTCAGGTTTTTCGATTCAATTGAATTCAGTTTTATTTTTATCTCAGGAACACTTTCAAATACGTATGTCAGACTAACTCCTTATAATTATATTTGCTAGCGACCAACAGTACACCATGAGAAGCAATTGGTGACAGACCGCAAAGGAATAACTCCTTTTAATGGGGGGAGAGAGAGAGACAGAGCGAGAGCGAGAGCGAGAGAGACAGAGACAGAGGTAAAGACAGAAGGACAGAGAGAGAGACAAAGGTGCACAGCAACAACAGTAGCAACAACTACAGGTTTTACATGCTAATAATGTCATATGCTGTCTAGATACAGATTTTTATTTTCTTTTGTTATTTCCATGAAGAAATGGCAAGCATGAAGTGTTCCCCCAGAGTTGTCAAAGGAGTATTGAAATTCTCGTAGGGTGAGCAGCTCCTCGGGGCAGGAAGCAAGCTTTACTGCAGGTATTATTGACTGACACCCAACTGTTTTGTAAAGCCTCCTACACTTGAATTATTTTTTTCATTTCTCACTGGGAATAAATATGTATATGTATCGGAGAATGACAGTTCTTATAAAAAATGTAAAATCAGTCCCAGGGTAAAAACACTAACATTAAGAATCAATAGTGTTCTTGAGAATCTTACACCCCTAGTTTTTGGTGGTCTTACAGTTGGGCGCTGGGCCCACCACTTTGGTCCAGACTGAAATATCTCAACAACTATTCTTTGAATTGCCTAACTAACATTCATGGTCCCCAAAGGATGAATCCCAATGGCTGCAGTTTTGAGTGAAATGTTTCGACAACTACTGGATGGATTTATTCTGCAATTACCAGTTAAACGTTTAATCATTTAGTCTACACAGTGTGAAAAAATCCCAGAGCCCAAAGTGACATCTTCAGATTGCTTATTTTGTCCAGTCCACACTCCAATACTCAAAGTTTACTATCAAAACAGGAAATCCTCACATTCAAGCAGTCGGAACAAGGAAATATTTGAATTTTTGCTAAATGATTAAGGGATTATTAAAATAGTTGGCAGCTAATTTTCTTTCAGTCTACTAATCAATTAGTCAATTTGTTACAGCTCTAGATGGATTGCCTTGAAATTTGTGTAAGACATTCATGTTCCCCTCAGGAAGAATTGGAGTCACTTTGGTGATCTACTGACTTTTCTATCGCAACCATGATTTAAAAAGTATTTCCCAATACTTCGGGTTATGACCAAATACTTGCAAAACTTGTGTCATTCCCATCAGCCTCAGCTGTATTTGTATTGTATTTCTTGCTAATTTGCAAATGTTAGCACCTCACTAAAATAAGATGTTGAACATGGTGAACATTATACTTTTTAAACACCAATGCCCTTGCCTCACCCTCCCCTTCAGCAAAAGAAAGTTCCTACCTAGAGCTGCAACGATTAGTCAACTAATCGATTAAGCGATCAATGAAAAATAATCGTGAATTGTCTTGACAATTGATTTATTGTTAGTCATTTTTCAAGCTATATTTCCCGCTTTTCTCTGTTTTATATCATATTACACTGAATATCTTTGAACTGGCAAAACAAGACATTTAAAGACCTCACCTGGGACATTGAGAAACTGGGATGGACATTTTTCATCATTGTCTGATTAATGAATAATCTAGAAAATAGTTGGCAGATTAATCGATACGAAAACAATTATTAGTTGCAGCTCAACTGTAGGAACATGGTAGTCCAACATGGCGGACTCTGTAGAAGAGGACTCACTCCCTCTGTAGATAAAAACATTATAGCCCATTCTAAGGTAACAAAAACACAATGATTCCTATATTCAGGTGATTGTTCACTAATGAAAAGACAGCTATGAATATTATATTCCTTTTCTGACAATAGATCCTCCTAAATGTTACACACTGGACATTTCGCTCAAAGCACCAGTTAGCCTGAGCACAACCTCACATAGCTGCTTGCATGGCTGTAGACTATTGTCTGGTTATGACATTGTCAAAGCAAATTTACATATTTACTTAGAGATTTTTTTTGACTCTCAGGCACACTGACTTTAAATAGTTGGTGTTGCCATGCTGTCGAAAGGTAAGAGTTGGTAAATGTGTAATTGTAGGACTGAAGCATCCCTGATGGGTAATCCTGGCTTGCAGGCTGTGGAAATAGTCAATGACAGGTCTTTACATAACTCTTGCAGTCAGAAATGTGGGCGCCTCAGGCGAAAAGGCAGATCATGTAGTTGATAATTTGAACAGCAGGGAAGCAAGGCACGATGCAGTCTCTAACTCCAGAAACAGACACGTTGAGGCAATATCCGTCATTTATCCATCGTTTATTCATCATTTTGCAATTTGTAATCGTGCTAGTACAGAGCAATAAAGTGAACATCTGTGCAGGGGTCCAGGAGGGAGCGCGTGTGATGGCTGTGTGTGCGCGCAGTGCCACAAATTAGGGCTGCACTTAACAATTATTTTCTTTATTTTAAAATATATTAATAAATTTAAAGATATTTTTTTACATAAAACATTTTACTTGTTTATCTAAGAAATGACAAAAAATAGTAAAAGAAAAAAAATGAGCCTGAGGTCACATCCTCTAACTGCTTCCTTTGTCTGACCAACAGTCCTACCCAAAGATATTCAATTTACAATAACATATTAAGAAAAACCTGAGCAGCTAGGACCAGGAAATGTTTGCCATTTTTTCTTGATAACAGACTCGATCAAATTAATTTATTAATTTAATCTTTTCAGCTCTACCGGTTATGAAATTTCCGATTACATATTTTTCAAGGGTAGACGTGACATGACTTAGCTGCTTTTAAATAAGCAAATTACCAACTGTGCATTATTGCCTTAAGGTTGTCACACAAGTTTGTTGAGATAATTGACTTGTGGAAGGACATACTACTTCAGAATAAAGGTACGACACTGAAATGGCAACGCTGTGTTTGTGCAGTGCTGTAATTAGTGTGTGAGTTTCCAACAGCACGGTACAGTGTATGGTGCTGTTTACCTTGGTGAAGTGTTGTATTGTAGCAGGGTTTCGCAGATTTCAACCGTTTAAATTTAAGACATTACTTTTTATTATTTATTTAAGACTATTATAAATGCAATTTAAGACATACTTGTATTTTACGTCAATACTGGAAAAACAACTATAAAGGATATGAAGGCTATTAAGACGTCTCAAAATTATATTTAAGACATTTAAAGGCCTAAAATGCAGATAATTGGATTTTAAACTGTTTAAGACCCTGAGGACATCCTGTGTAGACTCATTAGTGCTAACATTGGGGACAAATACTTTCTTTTTTTTCTCCGATGGCTGCTCCACAATAAAAGCCACAATCTTGATCACCTCTTGGAATACTTTTAAGGTAAATTGATCAGGTCGCAGTAACATAAAGATCCCTTCCAGATATATTTTAAAACATGCTGTACCCCTTACAACATAATAAGCAATAACAACAAAAATGCCAATAATACGGCACAAAACCGCAATATCACACACATCTAGCGTTAAACCATGCCCACTGCTCATGCCAGAGCAGCCTGCAGTTCCTCACAGGACGCTTACTGGTCCAAACCACTGTGGTTGGACACAAGCACTTAGCTTGAGACCTTGCAAGATGAATTCTCACGTGATCTCGCAAGTCTAGCATCCTAGCAAGATCATTACAGCACTGGGTATCGTCTTGTATCAAAGTGCAGTAAGTAAAATTCTTTCTGCTCATATCATCAGTTTGCAGTGTGAATATTTGGCCTTGTGTGGAAAGTTCAGACTTGCTCAATCTTCACTGCAGCTGTGTGTCCTTCTGTCTCTGTGTCTGTGCTGCTTACCTGACAAGTGTAAGATGGATTGCAGCAGAAAGAGGTGTGTCATTCCTTTTGACAGTGTGACTGTCAGAGTGCTGACCAGTCACACACAACAAGGCTTTGGTGAAAAAAATCTGAGAGCAACACACGCTGCTGTCAGTGTGGTCCATCCTTGATATGAAAGACTGTATATTGTGTAGTTTAACTGCTATATGGAAAGTCCTTAACCTGCTCATTTGGATTTCACATGATAGTGATGATTTCAACCACCAGCCACCTTGGTTAAGTGTTGAAGCCATCTAAGTGCTCCAAGTACTTCCTCTAATGGCCACTAGATGCTCCCTTCTCCATGAAAACTTTAATTATGTTGAAGTGAACTGCAAAAAAAACTCAAATATCTAAATGTAAAAGTGTTTCAATAGACATTCAAGGAATCAAGGTCATTTATTTGTCATTTAAGTTTTTAAAACTTAAAAACTACTATGTTATATTGGTTTGTGAAGGTTGAGCACTTTTCTTACCTAGCTAATACTTTGTTACCTGAGTTCCCTGTTTCTAATGCATGTCTTTCCATTCAAGTGAGTGGGTGGAGTCTCACATCTCGGATGGGAAGAGAAACAGACTAAGCTGCAACAAGGCAGAGATGATACAACCAAAAAACAATGGCACTGGTTATTGGGCATATTGTTATTTAGTATCAGTGCATCCCTAGTTTTTACTTTACTTTACTCGACCAAACAATTTCTCAATTAAATTAGAATATTACATTTTTATTGTTTATTGAGTATTTAGGTTCTTGTTCAGCTCCTTGTTTTTCCATTACATTTTACATACAACATTTGTAAAAGTTAAGCTTCTTCTGTTAAATCAGTAATTGCCAACCTGAGGGTTGTTAACCCCATTAGGGGTCGCCAAAGCTTCATAGGTGGTCCATGATGCCTTCTTGATTTTAAGGTGCGCTAGAAAACTTTAAAAATATACATTGTTATACTGCAGTTTCTTTTTGTACTTAAATGTTGAAGTGGCAACACCAGCAGTGGCCCTAAGCATAATAATGAGTTTGAGACCCCTGCTTTAGATGAACTACATTCGATGTTTTGAAGAATTTTCTTAATCGTTTTGTGTTGCTGTTTCTTTACTGCAGCTCCCTATCCTGGCCTCCTCTGTTGTCAGTCTTTATTTCCTGGAACTGACGGATATTTTCCAGCCGGTGCATTCTGGGTACACTTGTAATGACCGCAGTCTGTCTCTGCCCTACATCCTGCCCAGACAGGAAGTCTGCCCGCTGCCTTTACTCTTCAGCTTGGCGTTTGCCGCTCCCACCGCCACCGTAAGTAAACCTCTAAGCCTCTTCGGACTCCACACTGGACCTCGACATGTGTATGTATGTACATGTGGCTAACACGCCCTGTCTCTGTCTAGTTTCAGAGATTGTGGTTATATATGTTAGTGACCCAGATATTATTCACAAGGCAACGGTGTGTTTCTATGAACTATTCTGTTACCATAAATAAACCTTAATGATAACCCCAGATGACTAAATATTCCTCCTCTGGCGAATAAATGTGTTAAAATATAGACAAATATATGTAGTAAATGATGTTTCAATGGGAAAACCATTTTTCCGAACCAAGTGGTCTCCTGCACATTGCAGATTTAAAAATGTGCCCATAATGCTGTGGGAGTCTGACCAGAGCCTGTGGGAGTCTGAGTGAAAGCACTAAGTGGTTTCCATGCAACACTAACATTCGATGGGAATAAGCCAGCCATTTTAACCATGTTGACTATAATTCTTTTCAGCCAACTGCCATTTGTTAGTGAGTGAAATTGCCTAGTGCAGTTCTCAGTCATAATTTCTTTTCTGATTTCAATTCACTTGTGGTATGCAGCATAAAAATACAGCCATGAAATGTTTCAAATCATGTTCTTCAGATGAGAATTTATTTATTAGAATTTCCCTGATTTCACAGAGGTCGTAGAATCTGATTCAGTTTCTGCTAGTTTTGTAAACTTTTCCTACAGGGCTTCTTAAAAAACATTTAGTACAACTCATCTATACCAGCATTACCTTACAATACATTGTCATGATGTGAATGTCAAAACAAGCTACAGTGTCGTCATGATATGACATTTCTTTATGACATTAAGTTTAACAGCGGTCTTATCATGAGCGGTGTGATATGGAGCACTCCTACACACTAAGAAATCCAATGTTATGGTCACTGGTTCTACAAAACTGTGTTGAATAAATGGGGAAAAGACTGGAAAAGTGTTTGAAAAGTTTAAACCACTGTTCTGTCATTAAACAGCAACATGTATCAGCAACAGTCACTGTACTGCACACTTAAACATGTTTTTTGAGCTGTAAACTAAATTGACTGAACAGTGATGAAATACATCAATTAATTAATATTGACATTCTCATCTAATTTATAAAAATCAGCATTTCATTTGTTGAACACACTATCTACTGTTTTAAATCACCCTGAATCTTGTAAGGCCAATGCTGAGAGAGTTGTTGGTTTGGGACTTTATGTCATGACATTTCTATTGATTTCCCCACTTTTATGTCACTGAATGGCATTGACGGCATGAGGTTAAGCTACATTGTGATTGACTGCCCAAAAGTGGAGGCAAGCCCCACAACCTGGATGATGACGCACAAGGAATCCCAAATTAGGCCCACACCCCCAAAACGAAAGAAGGATTTTTCTGAGCTGCAGTGCATCCTCGTTGAAAAGGAAATTCAAGACAGAAACTAGAAATTAAACTTCTAAATAAAAAACAGCTCATTCTAAGGTTAACGAAAACACGATTATTTTTTTTCAGTTGAAAATGCCATGACAGTTAGACGGAGCTACAGAAAGCCAGCAGCTGTGAAGTACTGCAAGTTGTTGTGCGCTCACTGGCTGCGCACTTTTGACTCGTCCGTAGCCGGAAACAATGGCAGCTCGCCTCTTCACACACAATCTTGTATAACGATTTTAAGTGAGAAATAGGCAACACAGTAACATAATCTAGATTCATATTTGATCAGCACTGCCTAGTTTGACAGTTTGATCTGAGTTTCCTGTGCTGCGCTGGACAGACTAACTGAGAATGACCTGTCATTCAAAAAGTAGCCCAAAAACATACGCGGCTTTATCGTCTATTTTAAATTAAATTGGACCAGAATTTAAATGAACATCATAATGTATTGAAGAAGATGTTAAACTAGCGACTGAGACCATAAACTCATCAGGAAACTGTTTACTGAGCTCATAATTGAAGTGTCATGTTGGCTCATTCTTCATTAAAGTGAATGGGATCATGTGTTATTGCAGCCAATGGAGCTCCACCTGCTGAATGCAGGTTTTAAGACACTTTCAGACCCCGAAGCTCTGTCCATTATATATACTGTCAATAGTCACAACACATGGAAAGTGAGTGACAACGGATGTTGACAACAAAACGGCGCGGACTGTTATTAGCAGCGGACTTATTGACTACTGATGTGTGGGAGAGAAGTTGTTGCCTGTTTAAGAAGTATTAAGTGAAACGTTGTTCGTTAGCAAACTATGATTACTATTGCTATGTGATTGTGACAAATTATGCTATTCAGTGTCCTTATGTTTTTTAGTTACCATGGTAACAGACTCTAAATAATCTTTTCTCACTACAGCTTATGAATGGCATGCTGTTGTCTCTTCAATTAACTCGAAGAGGGCTTGCCTGCCAAAGCACAACATTTCAATCAGCTCACTCTCTGAATAGATGTCCAGCGGGTGTGAGACTCTTTGGCGTCTTAATGCCCTTTCACGCACTGCCATAGTTGATTTTCTTTTCTGGTTTTGTGATCAAAATTTTTCCTGCTTTCATTACCACAGATACTAGGTCTGACTCTTCTTCCAACTTACGCCTGCTCCATACTAGGTGTAGAAGTTACACCTAGGCGCAACACAAACAGAGCATAAGAGGACGTCAGAGGGGAAACCAGACAATATTTATTCCAAACAATATGACCCAGTTTCACCCAAATAAAAATCCACATAAAAAACACTCTGCCTGCATCTTGCATTAGACACCGCAGCTACAAGAGGCTGAGCTGGCCCTCCTCTCTGCCTGTGTGCTGATGCTCTCCCTGCTGTTCGTGTGCTTTTCACATCTAACTGGTGCAGAAAATGCAGAAAATCCAAGCTGGTCTGTCATTAAAGTTTTCAGAAGAGGTAAAATTTTCTGCATTTTTTACACACGAGTTAATGCAAGATACATTTGAGTGAGAGGACCACAAAATCCCCCTCATTGTGTGAGGACTCCATCTTTTGTTGTGTATTTTACAACAAATAGAATAAAACGCATTGAGGTCAATGTGCAAGGTTTCTATGTGTAACGAAAGAAAGGAAATATTCGAACACCCGACCTCTCTCATGCGCCTGTCCCACTGGATACTCTCAAGTGTCCCTGCCGTAGCTACATTGTCTTGGAGTTCTTGGTGGAGCCTCTGGAAATCACCTCATTACTGTCATCAAACTAGTCAAAATAAACTCTTAAATGTGTGCTGCCTTTCAATAACCTCAATTCCTCTTCTGAAAATGTTTTCTCTGAGTCAGTAGACTCTCAGCTGAGGGAATACATTATATATGCAAACTTGATGAGCCACATGTGAAGATTTTTTACCTAACTGTAGTACAATAGTACATCAATAGCTCAATAGCTAACGTTATTGTACTCTGTATCAGAGCTGCTTCTCTCACAGCTAGATCTATATTTGTAAAACAAACACGACAGACCGGATATACTCAAATCCTGGGAAGTACCAGAAGTAAAATAGTTGCTATCACTGCGGTGGCGTCTCCCTACAATAAGCATTATTTGGATGCAAGCTGTCCTAAGAAGTGTACAATTTTCTACTTTTCTCTTTACTTTATATGTAACATTACTTTTTACAACAATGTCTAGGAAACACACAAGCCTTTACTTCATGAAGAGTGCCCCGTCTGAGCCCATACACTTGGCATAGATTCCCTGGGCGAGCAGAGGACTAAGATGTTTTTGCATGCCAGGCCATTAATTAATCTTGAATACCCGAATACCTAAAACATGAATTCGTATTTACACATTTTTATTAATATAACTTGTCTATGATAATGAAATGCAACTCTTGATTGATTAAGCTAACTAGCTAGTACAGTAGTATTACACAGTACATCATCTGAAATGTGGCAGGCAGGCGCTCGTTTTTTTTCTCTATTTCTGGCTATTGTCATAACAAATGTCTCACTAATGTGTCAAATTTGAACCTTTGCTTGGATCACCATCCATATAAGGTACCTTCATCAGAAACTGGGGTCACTGCGTAAAGTCATCAATCTAACGACCCATGCTGCTGTCACTCTCAGCAGGCAGCAACAGTCACAAATTCATCACGACTTGCCACTGATGGCGACGCCACTAGATGGCGGGATACACAGACCAGTTTCAGGATTCGTGTATATTCATGTGTGTGTGGCGTACCATACATGAATATCTGGAGAGAGAAACTCTTTCACTAATGTTACTTCTTTTCCTAATAATATAATATGTTGTATATGCAAACTTGATAAGTCACAGGTTAGTAATGTCACTAAACGAAGCCGTCTAATTGCAGTAGCGCTAACTGTATGCATCACGTTATGTTTTTTTGCCACAGTAATCGACATGCATGCATGGTGATGCCCCTGTGTGTTTGCATCCCTGAGAATCATTTAGGCCGCTATCAGTAAGCTCCCAACCCAGCCCAAGCTCTCTAAGAAGACAAGGAAAAACTCCTAAAATTCTTCGCACATAAGGAAAAACGGAGAAACCTTGGGAGAGGCAATTCAAAGAGAGATCCCCTCTCCACGGACAGCTGTGTGTTTAAAGCATTGTCAGAGAGGAAGACTGACACAACAGTAGCTGTGTCCACGTTGAACTGATAAAATTCTGCCGCAGACTGCAACATACACATTGTGTCCACCAGCCTCGATGTCACTTCTTCTGCTTCAAAGAGGGAACCATACATGGGAACTACAGCAGCACTGATCCTGGATGAAGGGGTGCTGGAAGTCCATCTGCAGTCCTGCGTGGTCTGTTTGTGGTCCCGGGTCTCTATCTGTGGTCCTGGCAGGTAAATTTGTTGTCCTTGGAGGCCCAGCCTGAATCACATCAGCCAGGGGTGGTGCTTCAGTGTGTTCAGGGTGGGTCGGACCGTTGAGCTCTTGACCAGACAGCTCAATAGAAAACCCTGGCAGTCTGGACAGACAAACAACAGTCAGTTTTGAATATAAACACTGTGCTCTATGTGTGTTTCTGTGTGTGCTTGATTCTACTGTA